GTATACATACTATACACAATATGCAGTATTACTACAGATACACTATCAGCATCTTCCAACACATTAATAAACAAGTTTAATACGTTTATGGTAACTGTTTTTTCCACACTTCCTCACTGATGGTAAGCTGCGTGAGCACACTAACTGATTTTTAACAGACACTTCACATCAATGTTCACATCAGGAAGGCAAAGCTGAAGAATCAGGTCTTCCACATAGAAAAGGGTGACTTGACTTCGTGATACTGATTAGTTCATATAGCAATATTTCAATGTGTCAGCTACACTTTGGAAGGAATTTAAACTCAAGACATTAAAAATTGTGTTTTGTAATCAGCTTTGCACTGTGCTTCCAGGAATAGCCAGGAAGATATAAAACATCAAAGATTATAATACCTGTATCCATCAATAGGCTGCTTGAAAGGCTCTACAAAAAAGTTCTGCAAAGAGAGTGCTGCAGCTACAATAAAAAGAAATCAAAATGAAAACCTGTACGTTACTTGTTTTTATGGAAATAAAGAAATTCTCTCACATTTTTCTTTTACCTATAATAAGGCATTCTTCTAAACATCCAAAGACATGCCCAAGGACGATCAATTTTCCAAGATGCAGATCCACTGGCAAATGTACCAATACATTTCCTAAGAAAGTCAGCTCACCATCACGTAGATTTTCTTCTGCTTGCACACAAGCTGTAAGTGCTCCTAGCTACAGAAATTTAAATTATTTGCTAGTAAGATCTGATCAAGTAAGTCTAAGATTGTTTGTAAGAAAACAATACAATAAATAAACAATTGCAAAGCAGCATCAATTTGAGCCATAACTGTAACTAAGTTGAATTAATTTGAAGAATCTACTACCTGAAACTTTTACTGCATGTACTGGATATAAAACCAAGCTACTGTATACAAATATCGTTTCTTCAAAAAGAAAAGCTTTAATACTGGAATAAAACTGGTGTTCTACCACATACCAAATTGATAATTGGAAAGCAAAATTGCCAATTTCCAGATAGAAAGGGAGATGTTCAGGCTGTAAGGTGCTACTTGTTTAATAAACAATTTCACTTACAGATCTCAAGTTCTCTAATATTCTTCTTATTCTTTCTAATCACAAATGCTAGTTCACAAGTATTACAATTTCTTCAGGATTCTGCTTTTACTCTCTGATGAAATTACTATCTCTTTGAAATGCAGTAGCAGCAGAAAATATGCTGAAGAGTATGGCAACCAAATAATTGCCTAACATGACAAAACACTGCTTAGACATCATTCTCATTTCAGGTCCTAATTAAGGTTACTAGCATCTTAAATAACAAGGAATGCCATACATTTTCATTACTTGGATTTCAGCAGCATTAGAAAAAATGCCTACCTCTTTCAGATGAAGTATGGTACGTTCAATGTCACTTATGTTGGGTGGAGAAAGAGCTGTTGCCAACAAAGCTTTTGGCTCTCCCATATCAAGCTTTTTTATTTTTAATACTGTAGTTCCCAGTGGACAAGTCTGAAGGGAAGACAGTATTATTCTTACTTTTCCCCAAGGGAGGTGTTTAATTTATGAATTAATTGAAGATACCAATCCTTAAAATAATTTCAAGTTTATAATTCAGTAACAGCTAAAAATAATTTTGCATGACTAAGGATACTTTTCTTTTGAACAGAATGTTAATTTCCTAAGTCACATCCATTTTACCGCTGAAATTCACCTCCTATGAACACCACAATAATGAATGGTCTCTCTCAATTATTTACCAACTTAATTCCATTTAGTTGTACAGCTATTAATAACTACTCAAATAATGCATTCACTTTAGGTAAAGCCTGTGCTACAATGACACACACACAAAAAATTTCATTAGTAACCCCAAAAATTCTTACCAGCATCTCAGGTAGTGATTTCTCTGGAATACAATCTGTCCAGAAGTCCTTATGTACAAGCCTGTAACAATATCCATTGGAAACACGTCCAGCACGACCTTCAAACAGAAGAACAAACTTATCAGTTTGTAAACTCCCCAAGCCACACTGTAAAAAACATCTACAAGCATCAAGAACAGCTGAGAAACAACAGCAAACTCAAGAGGACTCTATTTGGTGTGAGATAACTCCACTGGAAAGTAAGGCCATATTTTAAAGTCACACACTCAGCAAGACCAAGCTTCCTGCTATACAAGATGCTGCTGCTATTAGCTGTATATTGGTCAGCAGCCATAACCAACACCGACCCAGAACCAAATGGAAACAAAGCTGTAACTGTGAAGCTCTCACAGTATGAAAACAATGAAGATATTTTTATATCTAAAGATTTCACTTATTAAATTAAGTGCTCCTTTCCACTGAAAATAAAGACTTTGATATCAAAGAGTACTAACAAGAAAAGGTGATCTAAGCTCATACTTAACCTTATGCTACAACAAACGCTGTAAAGATACTGCTGTGGATCTTTCAATAATTTAAGAGTGATGAATAGACACAATTCTCTTCCTGCAGTCAATAAGGAGCTAACTGCTGCTTTCCCTCTTTTCAAAAAATAAGGTATGGTTAAAAAAAATTACTACTAAGTAAAAAGGAATCATTTGAAGTTCTATGGTCCATTAATTTTAATGTTTTTCAATAAAATAAAAAAGCTTACCTCCAAAGGAAATACTTCAACAAAATGCAACATTCAGGCATAGTAGCTTAATCTCTTTTTAATACCTGACTTGATAAGGTATGATAACATTTCTGTATAAATCATTCATGACAAAAAATTATCAGTATTTTTCATCTAGAATTCTTCATCGAATTCCTTTCCATTCCCTACTGCCACCTTACCTCTTCTTTGATAACAGTTTGATTTAGATGCCCAGCAAAGTCTCAAACTTTGATAATTAGTTTCCTCATCACAGAACAAAGTTCTAGTTAAGCAGAAATCTATCACTGCAATTAAAAACAATATAATCTTAGTAACATTAAGTAGTAATTTATCTTTACGGTGATATACAGATTGATTTTATATAATCAGAAAGGGAAAATTTTTATTTTTCACAAACATTATTTTCTTTGTTGGTTTTCTAACAACTAGACTTAAGCTACTGAGGATACTAACAACTGCAAAGAGATTTTTACATAGACATAAAAATAATGCAAATGCATTAGAAGATAATCATTCTGCACCTGGATATTGTAAAGCAGAATTTGTTAATCTGACACAAATATCTTAAAATATATTCAGAATGGAAATAAAATGCTTAAGCTACTTGAAACATAAGTTATAACCCTGCTCGTTACTGCATTTGAAATACTGCTTTTCCTCCAGTGCAGGATTAGAACTCTCATCCTAATCAATAGCTTTATCTATATGTACATCCAGATGTAAAACTTTCCTGTTGTGAACAAAAAAAATTCAGTAACTGTCAGAATTAAACACTGCCAAGAAAGCTTTGTAGAGGGGTGACATGCTGCAAAGATTTTGGCAAGTAGCAATGAAGAAAATGTTACAAATATAACGTATGCACAGCTTGAAAATGTAGAAGACTTACCATACTTAACATCAGGAACTGTTACAGAGCTCTCAGCTATGTTTGTAGATAGAATAACCTTTCAAGCAAGAAAGGAACAAGAACTGTATAAAGACAGGAACTACTTACATTAATATGTCTGCATGAAATATCTAACCTGAGAAGAAATATTAGTATTTCTGCTCTACATGCAAAACACAAACAGTGTAATACCACAAAACCTGCATTTTCTTGTCCTATTAGTAAAAATGCATTCTAAAGCAGTACAGTATATATCATAAAGTACAAATATTTCTTTATACATCTGTCGTAACAAAGTATCATGATACTAGCAGTGACAAAGCAAACCAGGACCCTAGCCAAAAAGAGGGACACAAAAATGGAACAGATATCCTTGTACAGGAGGGCCGCTCTGCTCTGCAGTGTCACTGTCATGAAAGTGGAATAATCAACATGCACAAGCTATCTTGAAGGATAAAAACAGTGGCACACGATACATTAAGGGTAACTTCCTCAATCGCATCTCTTTCAGGTCTAAATACCAGTGAAGTCAACAGCTTGGTAAAAATAACAGTTTATATCTTGAGGGTAAAAATAAACAGAAAAGCATCCTTTGCCCTCATGCAGCAATTTTACTTGGAACAGATCACATTCTTCACAGAAAAAGATTTTACAGGCTTAAAAAAAACCAATGATTAAAGAATATTTACTTTTCTGTAGCCAGGAACTGGATTCAAAAATACATTATTTTGTTCTTCTAAGGAGACTCGTGAGTGGAGAGGGTACACCTGCCACCTAAAGAAAATGTATTTGTGAATATTTGCTGATACAAGCATATAAAAAAATAACTATTTCTGCACTAAACTATCTGTTCTGTATAGGACTCTCACAGATAAAGGATTTACATTCAAGTTTAATAAGAAAATGTGATTTAACTTACTTTTTGTTAAACATACGTGTGAGACGTGAGTGCATGTAGCTTATTTCACTGAAACCTAAGAAAAGAGTACACAGAGTTTTCAGTCATCACTAACAACTTCCAAATCAATTCTCACTTAACACCCATCTTTTCTTTGGGTATTCCAGTGCCCTTCTTGACTAGCACAACAAAGAATCTGTAGTTCAAGAGATTAACAAAGCACTAAGCAAAATACCTTCAAGTGCTAGAGAGAGAAATATACAGAAGTCAGCATGTATTCTGTTCACATACACACAAAAACAATATACAATATAATTATAACTTTAAAATTATCTGTTCACGAATGGAACTAAGGCACATAAAGGTACAGACAAGAAAATCAGGACATGGACCTGTCTGGACACCTTCTACCAGACCTACTCAACCCTACTATACACTGCCTGACCATCCTGCTGTCTAATGCTTCCTATTTGCCATACCCCTTGATTCCGCATCTGAATGTGAAATCACCACTTGAGTTCAACTTACGCTTATTAGCAATTAAAGAGACTTCTTCCACAATCAGTAGAAATAAACTGTACAAACAGTGTTAATAGTAGTTATTACTCAATCTAGCGATTGCCCACTAGACAAAGTAGGTAGAACTTAATGACCAATTCTGGAAGAGGCAAGACTCCAGCAGAAAAAAGGGATGTCAACAGGAGAGGCAGATCTTTGAATATGAAAGTTTCTAGTAACAGAACCTGGCAAAAAAAAAAAAACTAGAATAATGGGAGTGGAGCATGAAGAAGTGGAAAACAAAAAACAAACAAAAAATGAGAGATTGATATTACAAAAGATAGGACAGTATCAGCATAAATCCTTTGAAAGGGCACCATAAACCTGAAGTCATGCAACTCCTGCCACCAGCAAGTAAATATGAAGAACAGAAGTGAAGCCATTCTTATCTTGTTCAAGCTCTTAAGAGGATGACAAATTACTGTAGCTTTCATTTAGCCCACCAGCTAGTCTTGCAGGGACACATTATATACTGGAATGCCTAGCTCAGCAATGATTGAGCTGAATGAATGAATGAGCAACACAGCCTAAACTCTTTTACAGTTTTTTTAAATTATTATTTCTTGTTCTGTGAAGAATCAAAAGAACATATATCGAAGTACAGAAACAAGAAACAATCGAGTATTCAGATGAAAAAGTACCGAAATTATGACTGGTTGTGCAAATTCAACGTAGCCTATATTAAAAAAAAAACAACTGCATAGTTTAACATGCTCTTTGTACCACCTGCTATTTGGAAACTGAAACTGCTGGGGTAAGTTCAGACTAAAATGTACTCAGAATACCTTAAAAAGTCTGAAAGCATACAATATAAACATTAAAATAGGAAGCCAGAGGCAACAAAGATGGTCACTGTACTTATGAGAAAATGGAATAAGTCCTACACTGGCACAATAAAGCATTTCCTCCTACCTAGAGGGCATTTATAGAGAAGGCAACTGAGAAAGAAAGCTGCAATGCCATTTAGCTGGCAGGGAGAAATCTCCATTTGGAGCTACAATATCAGTGCTGTATACTGCTGTGCTGGTGCGCTGTGCTTCCAGCCCTAGAGCTACCATGCCTATTACTGAGCTTAACACAGCAGTGAGATTCAGAAAGATTTACAGGTAGATATGAAGTTCTGGTAGGGACAAACATCTCTGCACCCAAAGAACAGAGCTACTCCCAGCTTCGATGTGACTCTCCAATAGAATGCACGCATTCTGAAATTTTCAGAGATGTGAAACTTCGCTAGGTTAAGTAAAAGAAAACTTGAAACCAACAGGTAGTTAAGTTTGTGATGCTAGAAATTCTATGCTGCAGCTGAGTTACAAAAAAAAAAAACAAACAACTGATTACCACCTGCTTTCATTTTGGCTGTCATTATTACTTGAAGCCCTTAGCTAGATTTCAGAAGAAACAAAAAATAACTTCAATTTACTGTATAAATAGGTTTTAAACCCACCTGTAACGTTATTATCATTAGTTGCTACATTGCTCCATATTTGTTTTTGGTGATTTTTTATTTTTTTTTTTTTTTAATATGTTCCTACTTTATTAACAAACTTACACATAAAGAAAAAAAGTGAAACTTCAGTTTTGCTGCAAGAACTTAAAAAAAAAAAACAGGGAAGAGACTACAATACATGTAGATCAGGAGATGCCTCTGAAAGAACCACAGAACTTCACAAAACACTTAGTAGTTATTTCAAATCAATTTCTCTAGATTAACTGCAAAATTAATTTTATTAAACTAAGTTTGAAAGGAAAATACCCAAATAAACAAAGCAACCCCATGTGTTTAACGTACAGTTGAAAGAAATCACAAGAAAAATCTTACTAAATGACATATAAGAAGCTAGAGTTATGAAGATCTATCCTCACCTGGTAAAAACACAAGTACACTTCCACGGTCTGGTGTAAAACTCTCCCTAAAAAGAACAGACAGTTCTTTAAGCTGCTTTATTATCCCAATATACACCTTGAAAGATCAACCAAAACTGTACATCTTCTATAACACGCATTATTCAAACTCCCTAATGAACCAGAGCTTAAAACACCTATATAAAACTTTTATCTAGATTATTAGGTTTAGTTTTGTCTTTGAAACAGAAACATTATTTACCAGTTAAATTCATCAAAATTAGGTTATTTAAAAACTAGAAAAAGTATTACAATATCACACAACTACAGAGAGACTTGCTCAGTATACATACAGTCTCATGTTTCAATGTCACTGTATTCAATGTCACTAAAGCCTAGCATGTAAGAAAAGTAACGTTATCAAGAACTACGGGTCGTGATATTCATCAAGAGATGCCTTGAAGTTTCTATGGTAAGCCACAAGGATAAAATTGCTTAACATAATACAGAACTTTTATTTCAACAGCAATCATTCCTGATGTAAAATGTCTTATGCACTTTGAAAGTCTCTACAATCAAACTGTATAATGAACTGTAGAATTTTCAGTGGAAGATAGCAAAGGATGTTTACAATAGCCCTGTCAGTACTTGAGAGCTGTAATGCTAATACTTTCATGTTTGCTTGTAGAAGTTAGCCTATGAATAATGTTACATTTGGCTGTTCATTTTAGAATAAAGCAGCTTCACTAAAAAGATCAAAAGCAATAATCAAGAAAAAAAGCTGAGAAGTACTATTAACAAAGTGTTCATAAATGTATCTATAGCTCTGAAAATAAAGCCAGCTCGCTCTCTTCCCTTCTCCCACTCCAACAACAACAACAAAACGTGAAGCTTCAAAAACAAAATAATTTCTTCAGTATATATTTACAGTCAATTACAATACATGGAACCAAAAAAGATCCCTAACAAATAACACTCTGTGTTAGACTAAAGTTGTACAAGCTATTTTACTAAATTTTTTCAGAAACTAACCATCAATTTACAAAAATCTATGGAGTATCTCAAAAAAAAAAAATCACTTCTTTCAAAAGAAAGTAAAATAAAGCACTAGATAAACAATCTGTGGAAATTACTGGCTTGCTTATATTTTTTCATGGCTTAATGTATGTTTTTTTTAATTCTTCATATAAAAAACTCAGCTGTGATTGGCAGCAAAGAAAGTAGTTTCTGTATGAAATGGCTTGCTTGGACAGCCATGCTTAGGGCACAAATTTTATTTCAGAAACACAGACCATTCAGTAAGATCTACAAGGAGTCTTAGTACAGAGAAGAAATCACACTAATTCATAAAATAAAAGCAGTGATATGTGGAAAAGTGAGGGACTAAAAATTACACCATGCAGGTTGCTTTAGGTCTTGCTCCTTAATTAGTGTCTCATTTCCCCAAAGAACCATTGATAACAGAACTAGGACTATATCTTACCCATTGCACTGCATCTCCAACTCATCAAATGACTGAATCAAAGACACTGCTACCTCGTATATTTCCTTTCCTATCATTGGCTTATCAATTCTTTGAGAAGGAAGCTGTGTGGAGAAGGAAGTATTAAGGTTAACACAGTAAAATAAGCTAGATTACACAAGTTGATTTGCCAAATGCTCTTCAACTAAAACTCATACAGAACAGCAGATACACGAAGAACATTAGTTACCTTCTAAATACATGTTTTCCTTCCAGTGTTCTACTATTCTAATGCTATAAAATTACTTCTGATATCTAACTACCTTTGATGAGCACTAGCCCACATTTCTTCACGTGTAGAATACGTTTCTTAACCAGAAGTAGTAAGCATGCACAACTAACTCTGACACAGGGAAAACAGGATGATGTGGAGAGGAATTTGTGTAAAGAAGGCACAGTCCTTCTCACAGTCCTATAACATACACCTCAATCTTACTGTAAATAATTCATGTTATCTTTACTTTCAGTAGACCTTGTATTTTATATTGTATTCTGCCAAGGAACCACAGTTGTGTTGTACACAATATAACTGCAACTAAGTGAGTTTACAACATTTTCTAGCATTCAGTCACATATTCAAGGCTTTAATACCTAAGAACACAAACCACCAAGTTCTTGGAGCAAATTTAATGACTTAATGATGTTTCAGTTTTTAAAAGAAACTGCTTAATGAATGAGACATGTACTGAGAATGGTCTACAACATTATGCATTTCCCCCTCAGAAAAAATGGCTTTTGAGAATAGCTGATATTTAATTCTCAGTACTGAAACCTGTCTTCACCTTTCCAACCCTCAGTAGAACAGCCTGCTTGTAACACTATATCCTGTTAACTCTAGGTAACCTTGGTGTCTGCATCAAAGCTGCTTTTCTGAAAGCCCTGAAAATCTCTCTCTTCTGGTAGAGGCCTGATTGGAGGATCAAAATCATAGAATCACAAGGTTGGAAGGGACCTACAAGATCATCTAGTCCAACCATTCTCCCATTACCATTGCTACCACAAGCACTAAACCATATCTCATAGTTCCTCATCCAGACACCTCTTGAACACTGATAGGGATGGCAACTCCACCACCTCCCCGGGCAGGATATTTCAGTGCCTGACCACAAAAGAGTTATGTGTAAGATGGCTCAACAGTACTTTCTCCACTTCCCATCCCTCCTTGAATCAGCTATCTAAGTAAACTTTTTAGGTGTACCACTGTCAGTCCCCGAGCTTCTTAGCTGCATTTCATACCCACCATGCTCACACTTTTCCACTGAAGCCTGGTAAGTCCATAAGATGGTATATTTTGTTTCATAATACAAAATATGCAATAATCTAAGAAGTTTTCTATTTTCTATTACTAAAACCAAAACTTTTGAGATCATCCATGCTTAAATAATTGTCTCCAGTTTGTCTCTTTGGTTTTGTTACCTACTGTACCTTTAGTATTCCTTAACATGACAAGGCTGCCACATCACTCTTAATAAAAGGTAACAACGTGTGAAACCTTAAGTCCAAAAGCCCAGTCAGAACTGACTGAAGTAATACAGAATCATCAAAACTGCTTTTGACAGCAGTTTACTATCTTTTATCTGGACTCTGACTTCAGTTGTGGGGATATTATGGAGTTTTTACATTTGCAAACCAGAAGTGGAAATCTCTTTTTTCGGTCTAAGTAGATACATAGAATTTCACAGATCTATCTGTGACTAAGATCAAGATGTCCTACTTGCTTAACTTTTAAACATCTGACATCACAACTAAGTTAACAATTAGTTAACTATTAATTAACAATTAATTTGCATTTGATGTCACCAGTGCTACACTGCAGTGCTACACCTGCAGAAACAGGTATGCATTTACAGAGCACAGATAGCCTTAAGTTTGCCTACAGATACAACCTTTGTGCATTTTTAAATCAAAACCTGTGCAGATATGACAAAGTATGATTCATTTAAGCATCCAGAAGAATGTGCTCAGAGGTCATTATGCAAAAAGGAAAGAAACTGCACTTGCAGACTTATACTCAAAATTTATCAGTATAAATGACCTATATATATATATATATAAAACCTATAAATGACCCAATATCCATTCAACAAGGCTACAATGAAAAATGTTTTTCCCTTCCTTCTCTGATTTTCTAAATATGGTGCTGTTCAAGGGAAAAGCCTTATCTTTCATCCAGCAACATCTATCTTACCATAGAAAAGTGATTACTGTAAACAAGCAGAGAGAAGAATACAAAATAATGACTGGCATTTCTGCTTATTTTCCAAGTCACAATTAGTATCAGTGAATTTCCAAATCATCTCGAGTCAGAGCTGCTCAAAGAAAACAAACTATTTTCAAGGATAGTTTTAAAATATTATCACCTGCAAAACTGAGCAACAATATTGAAGCTAAGAGGTTTGCAGAATAAAACAATTCTACATTTATCCAGTAACATCAAATTATTCTAAGATTTTTTGGAGAAGAGACAAAGGTTCAGACCTCATGGCATACAGGACAGTAGAATTACTGAATTGATTCAAGTCAAGATCCTTTAAGCAAAGAGTATTGATTTGTGACACCTGATCTTTTAGTATTAATTTTGAAATCAAGAAGAAACTTGGGAAAAGAAAATCTGTTTACCTATAAAATAATTTTTTCTCTCTTAACTATGCTGTATTCTTCTACGTGACTTCCTTGAAATAGAAATACTCAGAACTAAAGCCTGAAGCCTGTACCTCAGGCAGCTATCAGATTCTGAATTTCAACATGCTGAAAGATAACTTCCTACTTCATATGGTAATGCTCAAATTATTAGAGCCTGAGAGTCAAGGCAATTTCCTGTTACATAAATCTTCTTAGATTTTCTATTTTTCTAAGTATACTTCTAATAAGTCTGACGTCCAGAGAAACTCTCCACACACAGAGCACCATACAGAGCATGATGCAAAAGCACATATCAGTGCTTTCCAACTCAATTTCTTTTTTTTTTTTTATTTGTAAATATTAAAAATCATTCAAGAATGTTTCTCTGTTTCTCAGCTGCACTAGGGCAACAATAAATTCATGTTCCTTTCCTCTTACTAAACAAGAAAACAGCTATGGCCAGGAGAATACAACATAAAAACAAATGTAAACTTAAAAATCGAAGTTAAATGCTCATATACACAGGAAAAAAATAAAGAAAACAGAAAAAACTAAGGACTAAAAGCAGTTCCTTTTGTTTGTGATCTCTGAGCTGAAAGGTGAGACAGCTGATCTCCAGCTGAAAGCTTTGACAAATGCAACTGGACTGAAGTAGACTTCTTACTAAATTTCTTAGTTATCTTTTTGTTGTCATCATCAAAAACCTCTTAGGAAAAACTCTCATGTTATGTAATCTCCCCCATGTTGTCTGAGTTGCCATACAAACGTACAAACACTGACAAGCCAAGTGCTACATACATTTGTTGTATTTTTTTTTTTTGGCTGCATTAAAACTTCAACAGTTGACAGCCTTCTAGCTTGCCTGTGCTCAAGCGAAACAAATGCCCTCTCTGTGCACAGCATAAGGAATTATTTTCTCTGATTTTTTCCCCGGATTTTAAATATAGTTTCTGTAGAATTGAGAGATGAAATCTAAAGGGTAACAGTATGTTCACAAACTGCTACTGTTCAAGTTCATCTCTTATTCTCTTCATTATATTAGTGTTTTTCAAATGTTCTGAATTATCAAGATCAAATAATTACTCTCTTATCTCAGTGACTAAAGCCTAACTGTATTTATTTACCTTAACTGTTAAACTTTGCCTCAGTTGATGATACTGGAAGTTAGATAAATTGTTCTGTCAACATATGTTAATTTCTGTCTGAAACTGCAAGGTAAAATCATTTATTCATAATTTTGCTACAGAGCTTTTAGCTGACTATTCTAATTTCTTACTATGTCCAATGATGTAAAAATCTTATTTCCCATACCTGAAAATGAACAATGTGCTTCAAATCATCAAGATAATATTCTTCAACAGCATAAGGTTTGCCTTCCACCTTAAAAATGCAGGCTGGATTCAGACCGTTTTGAGTTGGAACTGCAAAATAATCAGCAATTTCTTCACAGTTGATGGTAGCAGACATTAATATGATCTGTTAAAAAATTACATAGCAAATGTAAAACAAACTACTTTGGAATCTTAGAATCTCTACTTCTTTATGCTACAATGGTCTTAATTTGGTTTCTGCTGTCATACATTCTAGGAAAATTTAAGACAATCAAAACTGAACACTTTAAAACCACAGATATGAGATATAGAAAAAGGCAAACACCTTTAAAAAGAGTGGCTCAGGCCAAACACTTGGGCCTGAAAACGCGAAGATTTTTTTCTGTGGTTGAAGTTGAACCCAAAAACAGCACTCTTTCTTAGTTTATGATCACTTCATGGACCTCAAAACAAGAAAGTACTCACTAAGTATTTCCAAATCTAGATTCACTGAAAAGTTAGATATTAATATCTTCACTTCAATCAAAAGATAGGCTTAGTCTTATCAGACTGTATAAGATTACTATAGTTGTACTGATACCTGAGCCTTAAAAATGACTATTTTTTTTTTAATGTCAAATTTTCCCTTAGTTTCAATAAGTTTATTCAACTTAAAGCTCTCAAGCATCACATTAAGCTCCTTGCTAGTAGATGACTGTTAAAATTCTTAATCTCTATTCACACCCAAACAGAAGAACACATGCTACCTGATAAAAGCCTTTTTTTAAAAAACTGCAATATAAAACTCATGACCTGTGCAGGATGAGAGAGGGGAGAACAGTGGAACAGTAGCTACGGTTATTTACTGTCTAACTTCTGTACATGAAATGCAAACCCAGTGTCCAGCACAGCCAGCTGGAGTAGGTTAGATCACTTAAACTAAGAAAATAACAAAAGCAAGGAGTTATGATAGATAACCTGGTATGTAGTTATTCTCATGTCTTCTGAGCTACCCCTAAGCACTACTTGTAAACTGGGACACTGTCAGCCTTTGTTGTTTTATTTTTCCTTCCCTGACACCTCCCATAAATTCAAAAACAAAAGTACAAAATGCACAAATCAGCACTCAAAATGCAATGAAAGAGCATTCCTCCTACAAAGAGCTATGTAGCTACTGAGGTGAGCATTATACCCCAGAGCTCAGAAAGCTCCAAAGCATGTCCTCTTAAAGGAATAAGGAAAACATAAAAAGCAGATTAAATCTGAAAACATGCAACTGTGCAAGCAGTATCTGAAACCTGTCTCTCTACAGTATTATCTGCTTCACAGCTGAGATTACCTTTGCCAGAACAACAGGCTAAATACAATCCTGCCTGACGGCTATTAAAGCTAAATCCAATCTGAATTATTCTAACTGCAGTTAGAGGCAAGGAATATTAAATTAACTCTTCTTCAGACCATATTGGTAATTTTTCCTAATAGGAAGGATTCCATACAGATTACTATCTGGAAGGAAAATATCAAATTCCTAACAGCATACTTGAACGATCCCCTATTATTAAAAATAATCAAACAACTCATTTACTCTCCAAGTGGAAGCTGAGCAAGAAGCACCTACCATCACTAGTGCAGAGCAACACATAGATAGGAAGAAAAGCATTATCAAAGCAGGCAGTTCTTCAAGATCAAGCTTCAGAAACACCTGTGCAGAGGTCAAAATATGCACACTTCTCATGGGCAGCCTGGTCGGGTGGTTGGTGACCCTGCATATCTCAGGGGGGTTGAAACTAAACGATCATTGCGGTCCATTTCAACCCAGGCTATTCTATGATTCTATGATTCAGATGCCCTCAAATGGCATTCTAGAACCTTGAAATGTGTTCTGTGAAACTACCATTGTATTTATTCTGTTTTTATCTTTTTTTTTTTTTTACCCAAGCAGCCATTACTAGACACCAACACCATTCCAAAACTCTCAGGTTTTCTTACAACAACCTCATTCCAGAAAAAGAAATCTTAAAGCCAATCTAATATATGCCCTGTGACATAATACCAACAATCTGCCAGAAAAATCAGAATTGCTGATGTGTGAATCACAACAGGAGATCTTGCTGCCTTATCAAGAATTGTAAGCAACTTGTTTCCCCTTGAAACAGGCCTCCTTCATTCCATGAATCCAGGCACAAAAGAAGAGAATCTTTCATTCTTTGAATGAATTAGCTGTACTATGAAAGCCCCTTTATTTTTTCAAAAGGGAATGAGGCAGGAAACACTGGGCTTAGTATACTGTACTGTATGTATTTTTAAAATGAATGATCCATTCCACACTGCTAAAACAACTACATACACAAGTTCCCCTCTCCCCAGCATAAAAAAATTGAGAAAATGAAAACTGTCAGATAGTGGAAAGCACCCACAAATTTAAAAATTGTCCTGTATTTATATAATATGAAAGTGTCTTCTGAAGAATCAGCTGCAGAGCAAGATATAAAACAGTGCCATCCAATGACTATTTTGGGAGATTTAATCAGAACACAGATTCCCTTACAACAAAAAAGCCAATACAGATTCAAATTACCTTTGTTTAGAACAGAATAGTTAGCATTAGGATACCATTATCTGAAGCACTGAGACACACATCAGCCTTGAAGAATTTCTGCAGTCCCAAAGAGCTGCACAGAGATGCTCTGCACTAACCTATTTCCTGTATTTAATTTCTTACAATTCATGTATTTGTTACTTTGAGACCACGAAGACTAAATATGTCACACTAAATCTCAGCAAACTGTTGTCGTAGTTTCTTAGCATGCAGAGAAAGATTTCAATCAGATTATACTAATAGTTCTGTCTGGAAAATGCAATCCAACATTTCTATTTTTTTCTTAACACTTCCAGAAGTTAATGCTACCATATTTAGCCAAGGATAAGCACTGCCCTCAATACCCCATACATAACTCTAGTCAAATCTCCATCTTGCATTTTTAGCCTTAAGCAAAGCTTAGAAGCTAATTCATTTTAACAAGAGGAAAAGAAAAAGTTCTTAGAACACGTACTGGCCAGGAAAAGAATGCCCTTTAGCTTACTTGCTTAAGAAAAGCAGCAAACCAAATCATACTTATGTTAAAAATAATGGATAATATTAAAATAAGTTTTTTTGTAGGTAAAAAATTGAGTTTATTTTTGCAAGAAAGAAGTAGAATATTTTTAACCTACCTTTACTGATTGTGAATTTGTACGCAACAGCTTACGGATTACCAAGAGCAAAAAATCCATTTCTTCAGTACGCTCATGCACCTGAAAGGTATCATCCACACTTCATCAACTCACATTCTCCTCTTGGAACGCCTCTTCCCACGCTGCTTGTTTTCATGTTTTATACTCTTGTAACTTAGAACAATACATTATCATAACAGAAAATACACCTTTAGGACTAAGCAATTTAGTCTCATTTTACATCTCAACATAGCTGTTCAGACAAGAATAGCCTCCTTTGTAGGAGCTCCAGATTTAAGAGCAATTGAAGTGATAGTGAGGATTCTGAGGATGGCTAGCAAATTGTATTGGTAGTATACAAACTGATCCCAGCAGGAAATAGTTCTGCTTGTCTAAAAGCTGAGCAAATAAAATTAGATTCCTCTTGATCCCAATGACTTCTAATCAGGATCAAAATATACAACACCTCTTTAAAACATTATTTTTTCTCCAATTCTTTACGCATTCTTATATCCTGATTACTTCTTGTACAGGTCAATGATGGCTTTTACTCAACATTATCAATGATTAACATATTACTTACATATTACGTATTACAGTTTATGTACAATTAAGAACAGTAGGGTTTTTTTTAGATCTCAATCTTCAAAAGCTGAACATCCACCCTTTTCAGGTAATTAGCAGACTTCACTGTAATACTGAATACGCTCATATTCACTATGAAAAATCTTCAGCTGAGACACTTCCCAGGCTGACAGCTAGGACTTGCTGTGAGGTTAGCATTTTTGGATCTAAGTCTTGCTAAAGTACGTTCCAATGTACCTGCAGTATCTTGATTGGTTCTGGACCTTTAATTAAGCATGAAGTTGAGGGTTACTGAAATAGCAACTATTGAGTCAAGATCAGTATCTGTGGGATGTGAGGAAAGGATTAGGAACTAGAGTTATGGCTGGGGAAACAAAATAGCACATACACACCTGAAAACCAGGACTTGAAAGCTGCTGAAAGCAGTACATGCTGATACAATCAGTTCAGGTTAGAGCACTTAAGTAAAAAAAAAAACAACAAAAAAAAACACCCTCAATCTGTTCTCCTGTATAAAGTGCCACAGAACTTCACTCATCCAAGCAGATTTGTTTAATTGCTGCATCTTCTATCTAATCCACATTTCATTATCTTAGACATCAACAGCCTAGTGGTATGCAAACCCTCAGTTCTAAATTTCAGTGCTCAAAGAGCTCAAAGACAAGGCTATTTCAAGAACTGTAAGTTTGGACAATTTATACGAAGAATATTTACTTATTTGTAAAAATAGATGCCTGCATTTTGATTTCTTTAGCATGGTGAGAGATACAAAAGAAAGTTTTCTTAACCTAATGTCATGGTTTTGGTTTTTGCTTATTTGACATTTAAATATATTTCCACTGACTTACTTCATCAATGAAGATGTGTGTGAATTCAATTAGGCTTTTGGCATTAACCACTTTCTGAAGAAGGACTCCAGTTGTCATGTACAGCAACCTTGTCTCCGTTGTGGATAAGTTCTCTAAGCCTACCTAACATGATGAAAAGAATAAAATAGACATGAACACATATCACATGTATTCCAGGAATATGCATCTGAAAGAAATTCAAACTGAAATAAAATATAAAGTCATCAGCTTTACTCACTCATTCAACCTTGGAAAAGCCTCTGAAGAGAAACACGAACAGAACATAATTCTGAAACAATTTCAGTAATTGATGATATAAATGCATTCAATTACCAGAACGCAGGAAATTAAATTTCTGCTGGCATCTAACTAGTACTTCTATTTGTTTAACTTCAAAAGCTTACACATTTGCTTATGAATGTTTACCAGCACAGAGCTAAAAAGCTGCAATTCCATTTTAAAAGCATATTTCTTAAAATTTCTTCAGCACACTGGATACAATTAGTAAGTAACTAAGAAAAAGAGACGTAACTATGAAACAAAATAGGGTGCTTTTTCCTCTTTATTTTTAAATACAATTTGAAGTATTATTTTTTCTACCTGGTAGCCTACAAATCCACCCAGTGTCCATGATCGCTCCTTGCTAATCCACCTGGCAATGCTGCTGGCACCAATTTTCCGAGGCTGGGTAACAGCAATGTTGCAGTAGACAGATTGCTCAGCACAATAATCCAGAACATATTGTGGAACCTGTGTGCTCTTACCACTTCCCGTTGCTCCTTGTATAATCACAACTGAATTGCTTTTGATCAGAGACAAGAGCTGAAACAATTTTTTAAAAAGCTTGTAAGTCTACAAAAAGAACTCACAACAGATTTCAAACAGACATGAATTATCAATAGTTTTCAGGAAGCTTAACAAACCTTCATAGATTATGGCATATTTCTATAATGTCTAAGGTATTAGGTCACAGAAAAGAGCATAGGCTCACATTCACATTTGTGTACCTCACGTATTTCTATAAACAAAACATAATAGCATTGTTTCTTCCCGAAAGGATTTCTGTGCAATGGTTTTGTACAGTGCACAAAGCTTCTGCACATTGAACAAAGCCTCTTCTACAATGCTTAAAACAGGAAAGACAATTCCCTTCTGAGAAAAAAAAACCTCCAACCTAAACTAAACAAAAAACCAACAGACAACCAACAAACAACAAAAAACACACCCACCATGATTTTCAGATTTATTTCACAATGAAAGTACAACAGATTACCTCTTCCCTGTGTCTGGCTACAGGCATACAAGCATATTTATGGTTAGTTGTTATTGGTATAGAATTCCAAGCATCTGGCTCACAATTAGGCATTGAAGGATCTAGTAAAAAATAATCAAATGTAAGTTACAACAGTACATAACGACAAAGATGAGTATGGCAACACAATTACTGTATTTGAAAACCTAACTTCCACAAAAGTTTAAATCACACAAGGATATAATACAATTAATCATCTTTAGTATTAAAGTGATTTTCCATGTCTAAGTAACTGTTGTTTTACTAGCAGCTGCTCTGGGAGGATGTTGCTTTGGTATATAAACCACCATCAGTATCACAATCACAGAAGATTGAGGTAGGAATGGATTATGTGGGATCATCTAGTCCCATCCCCCACTTCAACCAGAGTCACCAAGAGCACATTGCTCAGGACCACATCCAGGCAGGTTTTCAGTATCTCCAAAGAAGGAGAGTCCACCATCTCTCTGGGCAGCCTGTTCCAGTGTTCTGTCAGACTCACAGCAAAGAAGCTTTTTCTCATGTTCATATGGAACTTCCTATGTTTCATTCTGAGCTCTTGTCCTGTTGCCAGGAATCATAAAAAACAGCCCAGTCTCATTGTGTTGATACCCTCCCTTATTTATACACACGAGATTTCAGTCTTTTTTCTTCCAGGCTGAACAACCCCAGGGCTCTCAAACTGCCCTCACAAGAGAGATACTCCAGGCTCCATCTTGATGGCCCTCTGCTGGACTTACAATTTCCCTATATTTCTGGACTTGAGGAGCCCAGAAGTGCCACAGTACTCCAGATGTGACCTCACCAGAAGAGAGTAGAGGGACAGACCACCTCCCTCACCCTACTGGCCACAATTTTAAATGCACCCGTTTACCACCGGCCTTCTTGGCCACAAGGGTACACTGCTGGCCAACAGTCAGCCAGGTCCACCAGGGCCCCAGGTCCTTCTCTGCTGAGTTCCCTTCCAGCAGGACAGTGCCCAGCCAAGGATATCTACAATGCTGTAGTTCTCTGTGCTTTCCTCTTAATTTGAAGTACAGTGTTTTTGTATAGTTCACATTACAAGCAAAATCTATTCCTGTTCTCACAAACATTTTTAAAACAGTACTGAAAAAAAAAACACCATGCCTTATTTACATTTTCAACTTTGTCTGCATTTTCCATAATGCCTACTGGACCAAGAGTGAAAAAACAAACCATACTTTGTAGTGCAGATCATTATTTTTCTACCTCTTCACAATCAAGACAATACTGTTAAGTAACAGTATGACCTTTTGATGTGACATGGTTGCCAAAAGACTGCAGAATGTGGTTAGTCACAGTTATCAGGGGGAAATACAGCACCAGACTTTACAGTGCTACCATGAAGACCAGAAGGTCATTGTCAGACTACCTGTGAGAAAGAAAACAACTTCAACAGGTGGGGAGAGAGGTACAGAAAAGGAAAACGAGGGCAAAGCTTTGGTACCCAGTAATTTTGTGAAATGAAAAAGTTTGGCTTAAGGGATACTGAAATTAAGAGCAGAATTTCTAGAATTGTTATGTATTTCAACAGCTTCCTTCAGGTATAGCAATGAAATTTACTCACATTTTTGCATATAAAAATAAAAGCTAAAAACTTCAGTTTTTGATGTTGAGGGTTTTTGTTGCCGTTGTTTTGTTTTTAAAAATACACACAGTACTGGAAGTGAAATCTATTATATTTTTTAGAAGGGAAATATTTATTGTAAAATAAAGGTCATAACCTAAATATAAAATGCCCAATGCTGGACAGTTCATTAAGGCATTCTGATAAAGCATAAAAAAAACTAAGAACAGTCTCCGACAAGAACAATTGTTTACCTAGAATCTGGGTAATAAGAAAAAAAGATACAGTTTATGCAGTTATCCATAGCACTACAAAAAGAACTTAATATAACCATCCCTGGAAAATACTGCAAGTGTCCTTTTTAAAACATTTTGGTAAAGATTCTAAATATATACTCCAGCAAAACTCATATGTAGCATTCTGTCACAGGAACACTGTCGAAGGCTGACTGGCTTCCCCCTGGCACAAACATGTCACTGCTGAGACATCAGTAACTCTGCAGGATTTGACCAATGCTGGAAGAAATCTCAAGCTGCTACAGAAAAGATCTTGGTGTCAGCATAATCTTGTAGAGGTAGGAAGGCTGTGTTGCTTTATCATGTTTTTCAGGTAACAATTACATTCAGTGCTCTAAAGTCCTAGTGCTTAGAAAAGCACTTAGGTTTACAAAAGCATGCTTTAATGCAAGAACATGTCTCATGCTGCTGGAGGTTCAGAGGAGGGCCATGAAGACTATGAGAAGGCAGGAGCACCTCCCCTGTAAGGACAGGCTGAGAGAGGTGGGGCTCTTCAGCCTGGAGAAGAAAACGCTCCAGGGCGGAGAGGGGGGAGATAATAGTGGCCTACCAGCACCTGAAGGGGCCTACAGGAAAGCTGAGGGGGGACTTTTTATAAGGACAGACAGTGACCAGACAAGGGGAAATGGCTTTAAACTAGAAGAGGGCAGATTTAGATGAGAAAGAAATTCCTTATTGTGAGGGTGGTGAGACACTGGAACAGGCTGCCCAGTGATGCTGTGGATGCCCCCCTCATGGAACCACTCAAGGCCAGGCTGGATGGGGCTTTGAGCAACCTGGTCTAAAAGAAGGTATCCCTGTCTATAGCAGTGGGTTGGAACCAGATGATTTTGAAGGTTCCTTCCAACCCAAACCATTCTGTGATTCCACGCATTGAAAACCAACACATAGGCACATAAGGTATTTACACCACACAGCACCCTAGGACCTCGTTACATCAAAGATGCACTAACAGTTCTTTGACTCAGATGGCCTGCACCAACTAATGGACTAATGAGACTGGGAAGAATTACTGATGGATATTCTCTTTTTCAGTTAATAAATATAAAACTTTTTCTTTTGGTTTTGTTGTTTATTTATTTTATATCCACATCAACTTCCTGTTCACAGCAGTATTTCCTAACAATAACTCCATTTCTTTCACAATGGAGTTGCAGAAACACTGCAAATATCAATTCCATTCATAATTAAGCAGGCCACCAGTGCTGCAAAATTAAGCTCCTATCCTACCTTAGAAGTCTCATTTAATAGCCAGTAGACATAACCGATTTATGATATTTCCCTAATTTAATCAAAACCAAAGTACTTTCAGAAATTAAACAATAAGGGAATGCGTGGTATTTGTTGCTGTCCTTCCTTCACTAGCAAAGCACACAAAAGAAAACAGATTAACACATTTCTGAACCACAACACCCTAGGCTTCTTCCAATCCCATTACTCAATGTTTTCATTGCCTCAGAGTCTCCCACAAATTTTATGATACATCAAGTGAACAACAGACAATATTCTGTGCTTCAGACAGGGGCACTCCACATGCTGGACAGGCCAACCACACCTGCTGCCTCTCAGCTGATAATCAGTCAGCTAGCTGCAGGATCCACCAGAATTCCAGAGGTCGTGCAATTTGCAAAGGCATGAGAGGACACTAATTTATAAAAAAAAATCCTCCATGTTCCAAATTCTGGGAAATCAGCAAAGGGATTAAAAAAAAAAAGAAAATAATCAGACAATGGCACACAGAACAGACCAACCACAAAGATGTCCTTTCCTTGGGAAATCAACTATATTAACAAATTTGGAAATTAAGAAGCACATTTAAGAGTTTGAAGCTAAGCTGTCCTGACAACTGAGCCAGCCTCACTCTGCTTTTACCGAAGCTCCTAGAAAAGAGGTGCAATCAAATTTCTCTCAGAAGACAAACAAAACAACCATTAAGTACACACAGAAATAACAAAGAGAAAAACGGGAAAAGAAAAAGACACTGAATGCAGAGTGGTTTTTCTTGCAGATACTTATCTAACATATCCGCATTTATCAGTGCAACGAAGCACATTTATGCACACAGATTTATGCAATAACATCAGGCACTGCTGTTCTCAGAAAAGAAGGTGGTTGTTTTCTTTTTAACCACTTCTTGCACAAATGTACAAACAAAACATCAGATAAACAGGAAATAAGCATATGAGATTCAGTTTTGTTTGAGGGAAGACAGAAAGAGAAGATGGAAGAAAAAGGACAGGTACAACTGAAATTATAGTGGGAAGCAGTTTATTTTTCCTGCTTCACTTTTACCTTGTTCACAGACAAGCTGATCATTTCCAGATGCATCTTGCTTTTGGGCCTCCACTTGTCTGTATTTTTCAGCACATTTAGTTTCACTTCTCTCAGGGTTAGGCAGCCTAAGCAGAAAAGAAATGCCAATTCAATGTATAATTCCTAATTCAGTAGTCACAGATCTCTCTGGAAATAACAGCATTATACATTACATTTGGACACACTACGTCAAGTAGTACCTACCTTAATGAACAAACTTCAGAGATTCATTTTGCCTTTGCATTAAAATACCAGCCTCAGGAAAAAGTGCCACATTAAATCTTGTCTGGATTTAAAAAAGAGTTCCTAAAGCATCCTCCTGTAAGTTCTTAAATACCCAGGAATTTCTCTCCTGATGAAAGTCTAAGATTACTTTTGAACACATATTAACTTGTTCAGTTTCACAAGTTCTTGTCAGAGAATACACACAATCCTCGCATGATTCCCTAGACAGCAGAGGTGGAAAGGAATAAATACAATTTCCTGACTGCTTTAAGGAAAGAACTTTTGTCTTTGAGCCAACAGATGATGGTTGGGCAGGAACAAGGTACCAAAAAGAAAACGTTGTGTAAATTGAGAGTTATGTCGTGACACATAAGACAAAGTCCATACATAACATAATAGAATGATAGGGGATAAAAAAATTCTGTTCTACATATATAGCAAGAAGAAATACACATAGATAAAGTAGTACACATGCAACAACTGTATTTAATAACAAATCGTAAATGAACCTAAGTCACACAGAATCACAGACTGGCCAGGGTTGGAAGGGACCTCAAGGATCATGAATCTCCAACCCCCTGCCACATGCAGGGCCACCAACCTCCTCATTAGTGCTAGACCAGGCTGCCCAGGGCCCCATCCAATCTGGCCTTGAACACCTCCAGGGATGGGGGCATCCACAGCCTCTCTGGGCAGCCTGTTCCAGCACCTCACCACTCTCTCTGTAAACAATTTCCCCCTGACATCCAACCTAAATCTCCCCTCCCCCAACTTAAAATCTTTTTCCCCTCGTCCTGCAGTTATCTACCATTCCAAAGAGTTGATTCCCCTCCTGTTTGTAGGCTCCCTTTAGGTACTGAAAGGCTGCAATGAGGTCACCCTGCAGCCTTCTTTTCTCCAGGCTGAACAAGCCCAGCTCCCTCAGCCTGTCCTCATAGGGGAGGTGCTCCAGTCCCCTGATCATCTTCATGGCTCTCCTCTGGACCCTCTCCAACAGCTGCCTGTCTTGATGCCCCAAGTGCCCATCTTCAGTAGTATGATAAACTCTGCTAGCCTGGTTGTGCTACAGACACTTAGATTCACTGAAATCAGTTGCTATTCTTCCCACAGGAAACACCAAGTGTTTATCACCATACTACTGTCAACAAAACATGAGAGGAAGGACACAAAAGCCTACATAATGACTTCATATCCTGTCCTAATGATATTTTGTTGATAGAACTAAGGCAATGCTTCTCTAGCTCTTGAATCTCTCTTAGCACAGAGCTCAACAGGATTGCACACGTTCACACAACTGCCGTGTGAGGAGCATCTGCCAGCTTACAGAAAGCAGACTGCAGCAGGCTGACCACACCAACTTCTCAGATACCTGGCAGAGGGAATACTCTGCTACAGCCCCTCAGGCACTATTTGGAAGAGTTCACAGACATACGGTCAGCCCACCTGTTAGGTTCTTCTACTGAGTAACTATTAAACACAAAACCAAAAATATGATAAAGCAATTAAAATGGAGTATGGGTATTTAAACTGCAGCTGAAATGACTTAATAAACCCTGTTTTAAATAATACTGCATATATTCAGATAGATTCTGGGCTCACAGGACACGCTCCTGATCACTGCCTGTGTAACTCCAGAAAAATAAGGACAGTGTGACCTCAGTGAGGTTACATGAGATTTTATCTGGGTATCCAGCTATTTTCTTTCAGACGTTAAGGTTTTCATCTTCAGAAAGCAGCATGCAGTAAATAAACCTCAGGCTATGCAATGAATAAAGAAAATGCTTAATAGCCACTCATTAGTAGTGAACATTGCTCAGTCTATGCACTGATTCAGGCTACAGTCTTGGAGAAAATCATATGTAATTGGGAAATTGCATCTGGGCATATGAAATGAACAAACAACCTTAATTACATCATTTCACAGTATCTTAATACTGAACTTTGCAACTTAAATAAAGCAAAAAGCTTACAGCACGTCCACGTATATGTTGTAAGTAAATTGAGAAAAAAAAAATCATTTGAGCCCTCTGGCAGTCAGAACAAGTCATCAGAACAATGTCACTCACGTAATCATTGGTAAGCCATCATCTGTTACACAAAGGAATGGAGCATTTTTCTGAGGAGTTTCAACAAGCATTTGCTGACAGCAGAAGTAAGTCGAGATGCAGACAATTCAAATCCATTCTATGATAAGAGAGGACACCACTAACGAAGGAGCTTTGCCAGATACTCCTTATGAGGCACATGCCTGTCCACTACATCAGCTCTCTTGTCCCCACTTCTATTCCCCATGATGCAGTGAATGCCTGCCTTACAGGATACCTGCTCTAAAACAGCATATATTCCTCAGGCCTTCCAGATTCCCTTGACCTTAACACAATTATAGAGAAATTCAAATCATTATTTATATTTAAAGAAAAATCAGAAGACTTGAGATGTTCTGTTTCTCCTTCCTTTCCCCTCACAAAAAAAAAAAAGTGAGTTTGACCTTATTCAAATCCAGAGCACATCTGCACACTTCATCCTCAGAAGTGAACAGATTTCTACAACAGAATCTGCAGCAAACAGATGACATGAAAAATTATCATCCTGAATGGATGAAAGCTGGCAAAATTATGAACCACTGGGAACATAATCAACCAGTAATGTCACTATCAAGAGTTACTTGCTGCTAAGATGTTTTGTTCTACAGCTGGTAGGACATGTCAGGTACCTCTAAAGCTGTACCCAACTCGAGACTCTTTTCCTAAATATACCCAGAAGTAGCAGATGCAGGAACATGAAGCCTGAGCAGCAGTGGCCAGTAAAAGGCCTTGCAACACAGGTAAAGAGCCAGTGCTTACCATGCCTCTTTATGAAAGATTATTGGTATAGTTTGTTACAAGATTATGGGATACTTTCCCTACTGCTTACCACACAGTTTAACCACGATAAACTTTTTCTGAAGTGTGACTGATCTTTGCACATCTGACTGCTTACAGGATTTGATTGCGAGATAATATTTAGACCCAATAATGAAAATACTTCAAAAGGTTAAATCAGTGTAATGAACATAAAATTAAATGTGGCTGCCACTTCAGGCAGAATTAATAGAAGAGAAACAGTTTAACACCAGAAATTGTTGGCATATCCAATTTTACGCGCTCTCAAATATACTAAGGGTGCTTTTCTTTGATTTCAGACAGAGAAAGGTCTTCCTTTTCTCCAAGCTACAGAATGACCTCTAATAAGTCAACAAGGCCATCATAACTGATGAAGAGTCAGTTAATTTTCTATCTGTCCATAATTTGGAATACTGAACACAGCACTCTTGTATTCACTCATTTCTCAAAACCAGAGACAGTTGCCCAGTCTCAGTCCCAGGTGACAGCTGATTTACTTGGCTCTTCCCAGCAACATATACTAAACAACCAACAACCCACCCAACCAATATATGCACTGAACAACTAACATCTCTACAAGTGATGAGTGGAAAGGAAAAAAATGAGGAGAAACATCCAGTGTTGCTCTCTGTAAAAGAAAATAACACTGGATGCAAACTGGGTGGTATGAAGAAAATATTCAAATACATAATGATGCTTGAAAGATTCAAATGGTTGCTTATCAAAAAAGAAAAAAAAAAATCAGGTAATTCTACTAGCTATTTAATTTCAGGGTAGCAGCTCCTATCAGGAAGACAAAAAGGAAGAAAGAAAATGTTCTACGACGGAAGTTTTTAAAGATTCTTACATATGTACTTTTGCTCATTTATATTCCACCTCATTTGCCATGAAAATCTCCCTTCACACAAGAGTGGAGCTGAATGTAAAGCTTGTGTCACTCATTTCACAGCTGATAAGAGGACTGCCCTAAGTCACAGCTCCTACCTCACAAGCTGACCACCTACTGAGAGAACGTGGGGGAAAGATCACTTAAAGAACACTGAGTACACAGAGCAATATTTTGCTGTACAATTTTAGTACAATATATACTGTAGACCATTTCAAAGTCTCTCCTCTGAAACTAAAATAATGTGACACTTTACATAACTGAACATTTGCCGTGACAGTAAATAACCTTCCTCTGCTGTTACTGAAGGACATCCTAAAAATGACTCCTTTTAACTGACAGTGGGCATTCTGGACTTTCAGAAGACTGGCCTTACCTGCAGAAATATTAACTTAAAATGAAAATGTATGGTCACTCAAAAGCTGTAATGTTTCACTCTTAAAAAAAAAAAGAGATGATTATTTGAATTCAAAATGAAGCTTAACCACTGAATATTAAAATACATATTTAAGAACATTATTTACATGTTAAGAATTGATGCAATACTTGCTTTTTTCCCCGCTGAAGAGGGCTGTTCTAAATACCTGGTTAGCTACTCAGTGATCAAGTCTTCATACAAAGGTATCTCAAACATTCACAACAGCTCTTCATCACAGCAGACACCTGTTTTAAAATTTGAACTAAAGAGAGAGGAAGTACACTTGAACTGCTCAGCAAATCCAAAAAATTACAAAAAAAACACGCAGATTTGGATTGACTGTAACCTTCATATTTCAAGAAATATTTGCACTATATTAAGCTAATAGCTCAGTGAGAACTTCTGTCTCCCACTTCATACAAAGTCAAAATCCAAGAAGAGTAACAACTGCAAATTACAGGAAAAAAACCCCACCTCAGTCCTCAAATTTATCATCACTACAGGACTAAGTCCCTTCTGTCAGTCAGAAGACGGGGACAAACTGCCAGACTTCAGAGAACTGGACTCTCCCATAGATGAGTTCTACAGCTCATCTCCACAGAGAAAACTCAAGTAGGGCTGTTCAGAAGGGACCAACTTGTACCCAAAGCACATGGTGACAAGCTACACAGCAAT